ATCAATGCATACATTATCATTAACTATTATCTCATAAATAACGTAATGAAAGTGTCAATGACACTGTAGGCTCACACAAAAAAGGGAAGTCGCGAAGGAGAGTCAAGTTTTAGAGTTAGAAGAGCTTTAGAAGAAGGCAACCATCGACGTACATTATAAAAACGAAGAAGTATATATGGAAAAACTTCCTTATATCTCTGATAATTATATGTGAATTATTTTATGTGCAAGAGTAATCAAATAATATTATATATAAATTATAAATATTACAAACCAAATAATAAATCACAATTTTCGACGGCTGATGGCGCTATAATCCCGCTTTGATGTTCTTAGCATAAAATTCATTATATAATAATAATAATTAATAATATAATTTATTACTGTAACTATAGGAAAAAGCATAATATGTTTATAGGCAGGAATTTTGCATTCAAAGATATTGTCAATGATAATCTTGTAAAATCGAACCAGACGAGATGTGGACACCACAGACTGTTTGTTATCTGCGTGTTCTATATTTCATTATGCCCTATATAATGCCAAAACCTACCTAATTTGCGCATAATATTTTTCTTAACTATCAAAACCCCTAGCCTTTTTATTCGATCTCACATACCAAAAATGCAGAAAAAATCCGTGAACGCTTGTACCTGAAGCCAATGGCAATTCCCATTTTTGCCAAAAAATTGCGTCGCGCTTCGAAAGTACGTTCGATCCGGCCGTGCCTTTCAAATGACTGGGGACGTTTATATGGAGATGCAGTAGCTTACAACTAGTACCCAAAATTTAAAACATGTGGCCGTCAAAACGCGCTTCTCTGAGTTATTGTTGACCGCTACCTAATGTTGACGCGACGGAAGTCGGACGGACGTAACGGACGGACGACGACCATGACATCAGCTCAGCTTGACGAGGTCAAGGTGGAGCTAAAAATGGATGCATCCATGCCTACATTTTACATTAATATATACTTATATCAATAGTGGTAAAAATGAATGTCATCATGCATTGTAATAAGGCAAGGTGGAGCACTTATGATGCGCAATCAGATCGTGTTGCGCCAGTGTACGTTGTAGTATGCTGCATTATCGTCGTTCGTGAACAGTTGCGGGAACATCTGTAACATGTACTACCTCCAGTTGCATGTGTACATGGTGCATGCGTGGGTGTAAAAGACGTGCGTGCGTTACCTGCGCTGCTGCGAGGCGTACGTGGTGCAAGCGTAACGTGCCGATGTGCCCTGCTAGTCCACTCAGCGTTGTGAGTCGCAGGTTGGGAAGATGCAGCATGCCGGCCCAGTCGTCGTATTTCGACGTCCGTGCCGAGTAGATGTCCAGTTGTCCTCTCAGCACCCCACTTGCCTTTAGTCCAGTCGAGGCACGAGACTCGACCACGTCCAATTCCCACTCCCCCGCGTGTTGTAGGATTCTCGCGACGCGTTGCATTAGCCACGCCGACGTTAACCATTGGAGACCGCAGCCGCGCCGTGAAGCCAGGCAGACGCTGCGGAAGGGGAAAAAAAGGAAACATCTATGACGCGAGTGTGAATAATTATAGGAGTTAGAGTTAGACTGCTACGAGGCTGATGAAGGTCAGAGCAGAACGCAGGCAAGTGATGGGCGTCAGATATTCAATAGGAATTAAGGTGCCAGATTAACCAAGCCAACACTCAAGATTTAAATGAGATGGCAGACACCGATGAGCTGGAGGTGTCAGTGCGGCTACTTGAAGGTTAATGGAAGGTGAAGCTCCTTACTATTTCTATACTATTACTATTATACTATTATATACTATTGATACTTATATATTATTATTTTATACTATTATATACTGAATTACTATTAACCCTGTTGTGTCCCAGTAGGCCAGACGAGGGCTCGGCATCTGCTTTTGAGCGCTGAATGATCAGCTGTCTGTGGCGAGTTGCTACTGAGAGAACGCGCGTCCAGCATGCCACCGTACCCATGTGCTGTAAATGCTCTATATCTGCACAGAGACGGACGGCCAATGACATCACACTGGCACTTAATGTCCGTACCAACATAACCCCCGTGTAGCTTCACATTGCTTGTAAGGAACATTATCTTACATTATTCTATTAGCATTATTATTTATACTTATTACACTTTTATGATCGATTTATTTTAGCATTTATTACATATATATTATATTTATTTATTTGTACTATATTATTTTACTTTTAAATATAAGGACAAATAACAAGATCAAAGATGCAGCAATAATAGGCCAGAGCAGGGTGTGAAGTTGTTAAAAGTGGAGAAGTGAAAGATGAGAGTTGCAAATACATGCCTGTTAAATATGGATTCAGCTAATCGTTATGTCAATGCAGGATGCAAACTTACACAGCTTTAGGTCATGGATAAACTTGAGGGTCTGGCTATCTTCTTTTCGACTGTCATTATTGCCCAGGGGGGCCGCCAACCTCACATGTGCATTTTCGTAATGCGCTATATAACAAAGGAACAGCTGTGTTTATGATTGCTGGGGTCATTGGCACTCACTTATGACCACTAATTAAGCTTTCCACTCTATGAAAGGCATTGACACCACGCATACACAGACACACTCATACACAACCCATTGAGCACGCACGCAGGCACACACTATATATATATAAAAAATCTTAGTTTTGTATGGTTCTTACCACCGAAATTTTCTAACAGATTGAAGTCACTTGAACACGATATTTAGGTCAACAGAATGAAGCTTACGCTTGTGCTGTTAGACCAAACGGTCCAACCTCCCAACTGTCAAACCCCTGCTGATAATTCCCTTTTTTCACCAAACGAACATGACATCGAATCAATTCCCACACAAGAGCTGTTTCAAGTTTGCTATAGTACGTCAGTCGGTACGACCCAAAGCACGCTAATATCATATACCGTATGTCATGACTATACGCTTGCTCTGGTACAAGCGTATGACGCGAAGGGCCCCCCCCTCCCCACATCTCGCACACACCTCGCTTCGCTGCCTATCCTGTTCCTAGGCACCGATGAGCGACCCCACACGTACATCTCACTGTGTCGGAAGCATGAGGGCGTGGCGGGATCCCTGAGTATGGAACAGCCACGTGGCAGCTGGCAGCGTTATCACGCGGCACCACAGTTGTCGTGAACTCCATGCCTTCCTCGCGGGAATTGGACTGTAACACACGCTAATGGCGCGCCGAGCGACACGTTTAGCTGTCTTGAAGGAAACAAATCTAGGGCTAGAGACTTGACAGTGATTGATGCAAGACATAAGCGTAGTGTACGGTGGGGAGTGGCGGTGGACAACGTGCCCCTCCCTACCACTATTTTTGCTTCTTCTCGCTCCCCTCCCAGGTGCCTTGCCACTCTCCCTCGTCCACTCTCTCTCGCTCCCTTTCCTCACCTCATTTAAAATTACATGCTTGATAAAAAAAAATTGAATTAAAAACAATGCAGTCTAGAACAGTATAACACAAAGAAAGTTAATGATACTTGTGCCCCGCTCACGAAAATGTAGCCCCCCCAACGTGCCCCCCCCGCTTGAAAAATCCCCTAGCTACGCACTTGAACACTATACGAACGATGAAACTGGTTGACATTGCATTGATATTATTTAATTTCCCTATATTAACAGACATACTGACAGACTATGTGACCCAACGCAATAATGCACTTCTACTGCTGCACCGCCTCTCTCTTTACATACTCTTACAATGCTCGATTCACAGCCCGCACGCACATTCGTGTCCTTCTCTGACTCACTGCTACTCTTAGTGCGGTCGTTACATGACAATCGCGTGGTACTTTACGCGGATTTCACATCCCCTCACTCACACTAGCTTCTGCCAGGGTTGACCAATGCGTCTTGACAGACTTGAACTACTCTGTAATGCGAATGGTTCGTGAATCACGCTACTATACCACCTTCGTGACGGACAATGGACGTTCCTCTTCTGACAGACTAACTACTCTGTAAGCAATTGCGTTCTGACAGACTAACTAGTGATCGCCCTTGAGGACGATATTTGTGTGTTAGCTACTCTAACTACTGCTGTAACAATGACTCTGACACGACGCCAACTACTGTCGTAAAAAGCAATGCGTCTGCACAGCACTAGAACGTATATTGATGTGACCAATGGCGCTGACGACTTTACTAGTGAGTGGACCAGTTGGTCTTACAGACTGGACCAGTGACTGGACCAGTGATGACCGGCATACTTGCACCAGGTTTGGTTGACAGACTGTACTTGACTGGACGTGTTTCCGATAGACTATAGGAGTGACCAATTTTCTGACAGTGTAACTAGCTAATCTGATCGCTCACTGCGCCAGTGAGTGAACCAAGTCTCTGACCAGTTCTGACAGACTGGACCGGTGACTTGGCAGGCCCAGACAGACAGTAGTGAGGCAGTGATGATGAGGACGGGCATACAACACCTGCCACGTGGTCGAGTGTCGCTTCATGGTGTGAAGGCGACAAACCGTTGCTTGTCTCGGCCGCTGCAGCGAGGGGGATTTGGTCGGGAGGGCTAGCACCTCCACGGCGTCGAGGCTCGCCACCAGGAGGCAGTCGCACTCCCGACCCGTCGCGCGCCGCAGACGTGCGACTCAGCTGCCCTCGCTGTGCCGAACGCATGCAGGTCGATGTCTTGGCGTTCTTGCCTCATCAGGTATCTCGGTTACCAGCTCCTCAAACTTGGCCCACCATACAGCACGCGCTGGTCAATCGTCTGTCAAGAACTACCCTACATAGCTACAGCCGACGCGCCGGTCAACGCGTTACTGTAGAAACATTACCCTACAAGTTACAGCTCCTCAACCTTGCACCCTACAGCACGCGCGTGTCAACTACTGTAGATAACATACCTACAAGCCTACAGCACGCGCGGTCCAACCGTACCCTGTAGAAACCGTACCTAAAGCTATAGTCCTCAGCCTTGCACCTACAGCACGCGCGCGTCAACGTACTGTCGAAACATACCCTACAAGCTACACGCGGCACGAGGTCAATGTTCTGCGAAACATTACCTACAGCTACAGACTCCTCAACCTTGCCACCATACATGCCGCTTAATGAGTTCAACGTTGTACTGTAATAAACATACCTACAAGCATACAGCTCCTCGACTTGCACCTACAGGCGTGAGGTCAACGTACTGATAGAAACGTACCCTACAAACGCTCAGCAACCGCGCGCGTTCCAACGTACTGTAGGAAACATACCCTCACTCACAGCTCCTCACGCTTGTCACCTACCCCCCTAGGTGCGGGGGGGCCACCGTCCGCGGTCAACGTACTGTAGAAACATACGCCTCACAAAGCTACAGTCACGCCGCGGTCAACGTACCTGGTAGAACATACGCTACAGCTACAGCTACCTCACCTTGCCACTAGCTCAGCCCGCGCGGTCAACCGTCTGTAGATACTACCCTTATCCATCAGTATACCAGCGCACGAGGTCAACGTGGTTACTGCTAGAACCATACCCTACGATACTCACAGCTCCTCAACCTTCGGCCTACCTCTACAGCACGGCCTTCGCCGCGTGTCAATGCGTACTGTTAGGAAAGCATACCACTTACAAAGCTACAGCAAACGCGCGGTAACCGTACTGCTAGAAACGATACCCTACAAGCTACAGGCTCCTCGACCTTCACTACAGCGTGCCTGACGGTTCAAGCGTTACGATGTAGAAACATTGACCCTACAAAAGCTACAGCGCTCCTCAAACCTTGCCACCTCTACATGCGCGCGAGGTTCCCAACGTACAGTTAGAAACGTACACCTACAAAGCAGCTATCAGCGCGTCCTCGACTCTTCCACTCCTACAGCACGCCGCGGGTCAACGTTACAGTAGAAACCATACACTACAAGCTACAGCTCGCTCGACCTTGCCAACCCTACAGCTCGGCCGGGCGGTCAAACGTTACTGTTAGAAACGATGTTACCCGTAAAGCTACAGGCTCCTCGACCGTTGCCACCTACATGCGCCGCATCGAGGGTCAACGTACAGCTAGAAACGTACCCTACAGACGCTACAGCTCCTCGACCTTGCCACTACAGCGCGCGAGGTCAACCGTACTGCTAGAACACATACCCTACAAGCTACAGGCTCCTCGACCTTGCACCTACAGCCCGCGGGCGGTCAACGTACTTGTTAGAAAACATACCCTACAGACTACTAGCTCTCGACCTTTGCCAGTGGCACCGCCGAGGTCAAACGCTACAGTAGAAACGCTACCCTACAAAGGGCTACAGTCTCGACCTTGCCACCTACAGCACTGCGAGGTCAACGTTAACAGTAGAACCGTACCTACCAAGCTACAGCGCGCGAGGTCAACGTCACTGTAGAAACTACCCTTCTGACAAGCTACAGGCTCTCGACCTTGCCACTACAGCCTCTCGTGCCGCGCGGTCAACGTAACTGTTAGAAACATAACCCTACAAGCTACAGCTCCTCGACCGTTGCCACCTACAGCACAGCGAGTGTCAAACGTTACGGGTAGAAACAATACCCTACAAGCTACAGGTCCTCGACCTTGCACCTTACAGCACGCGAGGTCAACGTCACAGTTAGACACGCCTACCCTACAGCTTTACAGCGCAGCGAGGTCAACCGTACTGTACTAGAAACAACGTTACCTCCAAGCTACAGCCTGCCCTCGACCCTTCGCACCCCTACCCAGCGCGCACCGTTCAGACCCACTCCTTACACACTTCCTTACCTCGCAGCAACTCGTTGCCCCGGTGCGGCCTGCATGCATGTCTGAGCGAGGTCAACGTTACTGTAGAACAAAACGTTACCCTAAAACCTACAGCGGCTGCGATGAACCCAGGTCGCGAAGGTCAAACGTTAAAACCTGGATGTAAGACGTACACCCCCTAACCAAAGCTAACAGTCTCCTCGACCTTGCAACCCCTACCAGGCCGCCTGGACCACTTCTACCTGCGGTTACACAAATTTCACAGCACGTCCCAAGACCCCCAAAGTTCCTGAGAAAAACCGTTCTTCCAAGCTACCAAGGGACCTAGCCTGCGCAGTCATTGAAGAGATGTTGTGATAGCCACCACCACCGACTCGTTCAAAAATCACACTATCACATGTTAAAGAACCGAGCTCAACCCTAACAAGGCCTACTCGCAGCACGATCACGTCAACGTTCACTGTTGAGGATAACGTATCGTAAACAAAACGAGCTACATATGCATTCACCTTCTCCACCTGAATCCATGAGGCTACCTTCACCACGCGCAGTCAATATTGATAAGTTAAACGATACTGTATAAGGTATGCGCCTACAACCTAACCTAGAGCCCCTGACGAGGCATATTTTCTATACGAAGTATCCTTCATCTCAAGTCAAGATGTTCACCATAACGTATGTAGAACGTCCCTTACACGCATACAGCTTCCTCGACCTTGCCACCGTACAGCCGGCCTGGTAACCCGAGTGGTTTGTCCATACTCTTAAAAGTAGAAAAACTACCCCTAAACAAGCGTGTCCCAGCGAATACCCCAATCTCAACAATGATCCTGCACCAACAAGCCGTAAACCTGTAAGACCGACCGTAACCCTAACCAAAAGCACCAGCGCGACCCATGTTACAGGACACTAATTTCCCCTCAGTTAATTTTGATTGGTCACTCCTACTTTCTATAACCTCGAAGGTCAACGTAACTGTAGAAACGTACCCTATACGAGATTGACTCAAAGAGCTTCATTCGACCCTTGGCCGACTCTAACCGCGCGCCGGAAATATATAAAAAACGGACATGAAGTTATGCGTTGTCCCAAACAAGCTGTACACGGAATGCCTAGGGGGAGTTTAGCGTAGTGTTTCTACTACCCTACAGAGGCTATCAGTGCTCCTCATAAAAACCTAGTAGATTTCATATCAGTGGGCGCATTAAGGCGGTAGAGGTCAAGCGATACTCAGGTGTTAGAAACGCTACCACTAACGAAGATCATGACAAGTTTATGCTTACCCTCACGACCTTGCCACCCTTGAACAACGCCGTCGTGCAATGGATGCTGGGGACTAGAAGGTCAAAACAGTTTACCAGCTACGAAAAATTTCACCTATACATAAGCTATAGCGTCTCGTCGGACTCTTTGGTGCTCACCCTACATGATCTACGCAGTTCCAGCACGTGTCAAACGATAAACTATAGGAAGACACGGTATCCCTATAAACACATGCTACTAAGCACATGCACAGTGACACAAATGAGGGGCTCAACGTACTGTAGAAAACAATAACCCTATAGCGCCGGCTACAAGACTACTCCTATAAAGCTACCTTGCGCCATTTCTACCAGCGCGCGCAAGTGCTACCTAACTATAATTCTGTATAGTAATGACACTGATACTTCACCGTGACTCAAGCTCCTCGCAGAACAATGAGCTCGTCGACTTAGCATTGGCAACGCACCTCTTTACAGCTAGCTAGGACAAGATCGCGGTCAACGTCTGTAGAACATTCACCTACAAGTACACTCCCTCGAACTGTGTGGGCACGCCTACAGTCCTCACAGGCCGCGTGCTCGTGCGAGGTAACGTACCGGTAGGCAAACCGTACTACAAGCTCAGCTTCTCGACCTTGCCACCTACAGCACGCCGAGGTCAACGTAAGACTGTAGAGAACGTACCCTACAAGCGACAGCCTCCTCGACCGTGGCCACCTACAGCCAGCGAGGTCAGACCGTACAGTAGAACATACCTACAAGCTAGCAGTCCGCGCGAGGTCAACGTTACTGTAGAAGTACCTACACATACAGCCGCGCCGCCAGTGGCGTCACACGTACTACTCTGTTAGAAAACATACCTACAAGCTACAGCGCGCCCGGGAGAGTCCATTACTCGTAGAACAGTACCCTTACAAGTACAGCGACGGATCAACGTACTGTTCAGAAAGGTATGAAACATACCCTACAAGCTACAGCTCCTCGACCTTGCCACCTACAGCGCGCGAGGTCAACGTACTGTAGAAACGTACCCTACAAGCTACAGCGCGCGAGGTCAACGTACTGTAGAAACGTACCCTACAAGCTACAGCTCCTCGACCTTGCCACCTACAGCGCGCGAGGTCAACGTACTGTAGAAACGTACCCTACAAGCTACAGCGCGCTAGGTCAATGTACAGTAGAAACGTACTGTATATTTCGCGGTGGTTTAATTTTTGCGAATTTCGCGAATGCGTCCCCGATCGCGAAAATAACAACGCGCGAATAATTCATACCGAATAATACCGAATAATACATAACTCACCGACCGCGAAATTAACCACTTGCGAAATAGTCCGTCAAGTCTGAATTCGCAGAAATATCTGTACGCGAAAAATATGGCGTATACAGTATACCCTACAAGCTAGCCTACAGCATGCGAGGTCAATGTACTGTAGAAATGTACCCTACAAGCTACAGCGTGCACGGTCAATGTACAGTAGAATTATACCCTACAAGCTACAGCGTGCGAGGTCAAAGTACTGTAGAATCATACCCTACAAGCTACAGCGCGCACAGTCAATGTACGGTAGAATCGTACCCTACAGGCTACAGCGTGCATGGTCAATGTACAATAGAATTATACCCTACAAGCTATAGTATGCATGGTCAATGTATAGTAGAATTATACCCTACAAGCTACAGCGTGCATAGTCAACGTATAGTAGAATTATACCCTACAATTAAGCTACAGGGTGCACAGTCAATGTACGGTAGAATCGTTACCTACAAGCTACAGCGTGCGAGGTCAACGTACTGTAGAAATGTACCCTACAAGCTACAGCATACACAGTCAATGTACAGTAAAATCATACCTTAGGATTTACAGCATGCATGCTGAGAGTATATTAGTAGCATACCTTACCATCTACAGAGTACATGGTCAATGTACAGTATAGTATAGTACAATGTAGTCGGGAAAAGGACAGTAGAGATTTAAGGGGAATGAATAAAAGAATGAATAGCTATAGCTAAACTCACCAGGTAACAGCAGGTGTGTTTTTCTGAGTTCCCCTATCTTGCTGTCTAACATCTGTCTTCTCTTTTCGCTCTCCATGTATTCATCTATCAGCAGCTAGAAATACGTTTGCACCTATCAGATGCTGATACATCAACATAGTTGACGTTATGTTACTACTAAAGCATGGCAGCACAATGTCACGAATGCTTTACATTATATTTCAGTAGGCAAATTTAATGCGGACACTAGACGACAATGTGCTGTATACTGCAGTAACATCATTAACAGTAAAATCTCATGGCATAGAATCTCAGCTATAAGGCATCTCTTCAAGTCATCATCATCTTGGTTTTAATAAACATAGTGACCAACAGAAAACCCGCACGTACGTAAAATTCGATTGCGACCCACGTTTCCCTATAGCCCTTTGTCTAACACCGATTCTAACAACTTGAGCGAATAACTCCGTGCTGTCGATGAGGTGATGCAGTACCTCAAAGTTGTCCCTGAGCTTCACTTCGAACGGATCGTCGTTAACCTGCACAGAGAAGCTTCGCACTCGTATGAGAAGATCGGCCGGCAGTGGGCTGTCTGCTGTGAACGGGCGCGGCATCATCTGATGCACTAGCTTCAGCCACTTCCATATGTTGATTGCCTGCGAAGAATATAAGCGGGTACTTAGTTACACTGGGATGAACGAGTCAGGAGAAACGTGGCTGTGTAACCCAGTGTAGTGGATCTACAGAAGAATATGTAAGTGCTCTCAATTTTTCACCTTGCCATCCTAGTATTATTTCTGTCCCATTCTGACCAGCTGACGATTCACAACGTAGGAGTGCATTGTACATTGCACTCTTGCTGCATTCAGTTGGTATCTGACGATATATCTATCAGCAGCAAACATCGCTCACCTCTTGGTGCGTCTTGGCGAAGTTGTAACCATGGGGAAAGACTATCTGTCCGGTTGCTATGGTGACAGACCAGGCACGGTTGGTCCTCTGCTGCAGGTCCTCACAGCTCTCACGCTCCAATCTCATCTGGTCGCTGTGGTGAAGGCTGCCGAGCGAGATGTCCTCCAGCGTGAACACGGCCAAGTCGTCACAGTAGATATGCAGCTTGCCCATCTTGGCTGTCAGCTGTTTCAACTGCCAGTCAAGCGTGACCTCTCCGGCAAGCGCCATTACCCTGCAGCCGTCGACCAATCACAGATCAGCATAGCAAACAGTGAAGTAATCACAGATCAACATAGCAAGCAATGATCTCATCACAGATTAGCATAGTGCACAATGAACCAATCACAGATCAGCATAGTGTGCAATGAACCAATCACAAATCAGCATAGTGCCCAATGAACCAGTCACAGATCAGCATAGTGTGCAATGAACCAATCACAGATCAGCATAGTGCACAATGAACCAATCACAGATCAGCATAGTGCGCAATGAACCAATCACAGATCAACATAATGCACAATGAACCAATCACAGATCAGCATAGTGCACAATGAACCAATCACAGATCAGCATAGTGCGCAATGAACCAATCACAGATCAGCATAGTGCGCAATAGACCGATCACGGATCAACATAGTGCACAATGAAACAACCAGAGACAATATAGCAAGAAATCGACCCATCATGATAAGTGTTTTGTAGTTACTGGACAAGCAGAGAAGGTACCTATGTTCACTGGACAACTTCAGCTCCACACAGATGGATCCACGCAGTCTCGCATGTATGCTGGCTGGCTTGGAGCTTGGAGCATTTAAGGACGTTTCGTCTTCTCTAGGAAACATCCCTGTAAGCAGACAAATTACTATTCAGACGTCTCCCCAGGCCCTAAAGCTCAGAGTTCTCAGGTGTGACATTCCTTCAAAGCTGAAGCTAATTTACGACATCCCACAAATCCTCCGACATGCCCTAATTACTTAATCAACACGCTGTAATTATCAGTTGTGTTTAATTGTGACAATCCCAACATAGTTATGCTTGGTTTTCACAACTTGGTGTATATGTCTTCAAACTGATCGAGTGTGTCCCTGTACATTGTGGCCGCATATGACATGCATAATTGACTCCACTTGGTGCAACCCTCTCTCGTACCCGTCCTCATCCATCCATAAATTACATGTCTTCTATAATTCCTGATAAGAACCCTATTATAAGTAACATTTTGTTGCAACATAAACAAGGGATGCAACATGTCATCACATTACACGATCACATAAATATGTAAGCAATGATCTGATTACTCAAAATTCCTGTCTTGCCCTGAAATTGCTTTCTATGTGAGATGCTGATTTGTGATTACCTTCAGCATAGGTGATGAACTCCTGTAACTCTTCTGCTAGACTGATGAAGGACATGTGAAGGTTGGTGTTCCAGCAAAGATGAATGTCATCTAGCAGTTGCAAATTCACATCCTGGACAACGACAACAACATATATGTAACGCCCCAGGGAATTCCTTACGATCAGCATAATAGCAATGCCTTAGGAACGATAGACAAATAATGTCCTAGGAACAGTGAGTGACCAGTGACAACCACCTTAGACAGTCTGCTTCTTGCCATAATTAATTATATGAATGCGCATGACTAACGACTGGATTCTCTACTGCAGAGAATTGTGAAACAGTTCTCACCTTAGTCTGGCTTTTATAACTGAGTCTGATTACTGGTAATTCACATAGATGGTCTGCAAGTTTGTCCAAACTCACCACCGTTGCCATCTGCAAAACACAACCCACAGTTCGTTAGTTGATGTGAACACACGCATGGAGAGGCTATACGATTTTGCTACCAAGGGCAGAAAAGCCTGTACAGCTACATACGTCCTTGCTGTAAAAACACGTGTGGTCTGTAGTTGTTGTGAGTGCGTGTACAGACCTTTCCTTGTTGTAGGAACTGGTAGAGTCGAGTTGCCTCCTGCGCCACAAACACCTTGCTATCCTGTTGATCCACTTTGAGACTGTTAACAGTCGTCATCACGCAGACTGCAAACACACGACAAGAATAACATCAATAAGCATGAACTACATTGTATACGCCATATTTTTCGCGTACAGATATTTTCGCCAATTCAGACTTGACGGACAATTTCGCGAGTGGTTAATTTCGCGGTCGGTGAATTATGTATTATTCGGTATTATTCGGTATGAATTATTTGCGTGTTGTTATTTTCGCGGTCGGAGACGCGTTCGTGAAATTCGCGAAAATTAAACCACTGCGAAATATACAGCGTATACAATACATAGAAATTACTGAGAAGCACATGTATAGCAACATGCAGCAAATGGATATCACCCACAGATGCATGTACAGGAACATGTAGCAAACATGTATCACCCACAGATACACTTACAGTAATACGTACCACAGGCATATACATACAGAGATGCCCATGGGCACACGTACAGAAAGATATGCAGCACAGACAAATGCCCAGAGACACCTTTACAAGAACATGTACTGCACAGAAACACCGACAAACACATCAAGAGACATTACCAAAAGATATCAGTTTCATATCCTCACACTAATAATAGATTAACGATGGATTTATTTAACAATGCTGTATAGAGATGATGATCACCTTTATTGCTTCCAGTCATGAATAGGTAAATGTAATTGAAGCTCATGTTAAAATCTCCAATGGTCAGCTTCGGTTGTGCGGCTGCTGTTGACATATGAGTGTCAAGCGTCACGTCTTTATCATCGGACCCAAGCCGCGTCTTGCTGACCACCTGTATAATGTGCTTTGCAATTGCCAACACTGGAGGGCAGCACTCTAGTTGAAGATTATCAACAGTGCCATGGAAACTCACGACGGGGTCCGACTTGCTCAGCTGTAAGATATAATACAAACAATCGCTACAGTATATGTATGTATGTTACTATGTTTAATCACACCATCTTTACATTGAAATGTATTAAATGTCATTAATGAGGTTACCATAAGGCCACCACACTCTTGTTGTAGTTATAAATTTGTTGTAGTTTACTAACTTTGCTAACATTAAAAATATATGAACATAAAAGATAGATTTAGATATAGGCGCATGTCTGTGCACACATCTCTTAATTCTGATAGCACACTATAAGCATCCCTGTTTGTCAATGAAGTACTTACCTTAAATATACAGATTCCAAGAAACAGCGGTGTGTTCCACTGGTGCTGCCACATAGTGGTTGTTCCATCACTCACTCTGCAGTCTGGTTTCCCAGCAGTGTGCATAAGAAGTGACTCGATGCAACCCTCTAACCTAGTAAGCGAACAACACACCATCTTACAATAACATTCAGCAACGATTGAAATATATCAAGCTATGACTGGCCAAGATGCCAGCTGGTTGGCTTGAAATTTAATGGTGGTAGATTTCATAGCACTCGACGACTGTGAGCATTGTGATTTTAGCTAACACACTGTAACTCGCTTACTTACTTCGCTAACTTCTGTCATTCTGAAACTATGAGTGACTGCATACTACAAAACAAGTGCCGCGGAGCGACAGCGCTCATCTAACGTCTACTGCGGTGACTCTGTGGTGGAGTGGTGAGATTCTAGTAAACCCTGTTAGTCCCAAATGTGTTCACATACGCGCCGAAACAGTGGAAGGCACAGGGATGGTATCAGGAAACTTCTCAAAGGAATGTTCGTTGGGATCATTATGAAAGTTGCCGGCGCATACGTTTAAGTGTCTTAAGATTAAAGATGGAAGCTCCCATCGTACGTAGTAGCAACAACTATTTGCAAGACAGAATAGGTAAGCACTCATCCATTTACCTACGCAAGCCTACAGGCTGAAATAGACAGCTGCCACCTGTAACTAAGTAACGCAGGCAAAAACTACACAGTACTATCGCCACCACATGCACTGGCAGTGGCCACTGGCAGTGGCATAAGTTACATGTAACACACTGACAGTACAGAATGCCATAGAAATTATACGATTTAAGGAGCATAAACCTTCTTCAACCAAATTTAGCTTTTGAAATTTCACTGTGACATTGTAGCCTCATACATCCAGGCATGTATAGATTCTACTATTAAACCCGGCAGTCAAATTCTTTCTAACAGTAAACAAATCCATGTTTAACCCTCCTCTTAAGGGTCAAAAGGTTATCCGACACTTACTCTTCGCATGTCAGCAGAAAGTACATTTCATGGTCCTTTCAATAAAGCCATAAAAATGCTAGGTCACCGCTGAAACAAAAAAGTTTGTCCTCAGAAAATGTCTAAAATCTGCCCTGTGCCCCATTGACCTTTGACCTGTGACCTCCAATTTCGGCACAGTGATGGCTTTTCCTACCATGAGGCTATACACCGACTATCACGAGCCTAGGTCGAGCCGTTTAGATTTGTGCCGCAATTCTGCATTTCCTCCCTATACCTTAAGTTAAGGAGGGAAGTGTTCCCCTTCTTTTACACTCCTTGACCTTTCTACTGTTGCCCCCAGCTTCGAGACATGCCCAACTCGTTTTCGGATTACACCCCCCCCACGTTCCCAAATATCGTGACGTTACGCTCAGACGCGGTTAAGATTTATGCCCAACTGTTGACGCACGCACAAACGGACGGACGGCCGGACACGATCACGATCATGCGATTCTACAAGATGCATCCGACTACGTCAGATGAGCTAAAAACACCAATATTGTTATCTTACTACTCACTGCGGGAGGGCGGGTGATGTAGTAGGGGTGGTCCCGTACATGGCCCTTTGCCCCGCATACCCATCACCCTGTCACTGTTTAGCTGGAATGGAGAGTGGATCACCCATGCCCGCCTCTCCTATGCTACCCTTACCTGTCACTGTATGCGTGGGTGGGCGGCGGTGCTAGACTCACCTATGCCCTGCCTTCCTATGCATACACTTTCCTGTCACTGATAGGTGGGATGGGGTGCTAGCCTCACCATCATGCCCATGCCTCTCCTATGTAACTTACCTGTCACTGTAGGTGGGTGTGGTGCTAGACTCCCTATGCCTGCCTCTCCCGATGCACATTTTACCTGATCACTGGTAGATGGGTGGGCGTGGCCTAAGCACTCATTCTATGCCCTGCCTCTCCTATGTACACTTACCTGTCACTGTAGGTGGGTGGGGTGCTAGACTCACCTATGCCCTGCCTCTCCTATGTACACTTACCTGTCACTGTAGGTGGGTGGGGTGCTAGACTCACCTATGCCCTGCCTCTCCTATGTACACTTACCTGTCACTGTAGGTGGGTGGGGTGCTAGACTCACCTATGCCCTGCCTCTCCCATGCACACTTACCTGTCACTGTAGGTGGGTGGGGTGCTAGCCTCATCTATGCCCTGCCTCTCCCATGCTAACTTGGCCTTGGTGAACGAGGTGATTGCGGCCGGACAGCCGGTGAACGTCGTCAGCAGCGAGGCATCGGACATCTCAGCACTGACTTTCACCTGCCAGGTTCTGACCGCTGCCCAGAACAGCGACCTGCTCCTACATGCAGCGAACAACAGCCGTCACAGTGAGGTTCTGAGGAATGCGATCATGCAAACAGACAATGGGAGGATAACAGACTGTGGCAGTGACTAGAGCATCAGCACTGCAAAGGGGCATAGCAAAATTTACATTCCACATCAAAGTTTGCCTACAGATCTGAAATCTAAATGAAACTGCAACAGAATTCGACGTAAATGTTATTTCACGAACATAACACCACAGAACTGCAAGTGCAATCCTGGCTATACCATTAAAAAACAATTTCTTACACGTGCTATTTTAAAAAACCTTTACGAAGTATGCCTCAGTGAAACCGGAGGCGAGAGAGTTGTTCACCGTTAACATGTACAAGTGAAGATGAACCTAACATTTTGTGTTTGCTGGTCTGGCTCCTACTTGGACTGAGAGTTGGGATGACTGTGCTCCAGTAGGCAATGATGTCCTCATGGTAATGGGCATGGCAGGCAGATACCTGCGCCAGCAGTTGAAGGTGACCACGCCCAACCTCACCCTTCACAGCAAACTTGTTACATGACAGTAGCCTCACGTATGTCGCATTCACGAGCACGTCTGCAAAGGTGCATCAGCAACCATGAAGACGACCCGATCAATAGAGACGTCAAAAATTCTGCGATGTCATATAGACCTCTTATATATATAGCGCTGTTGGCGGACAGAGAGGAGTGGCGACCCCTGTCTGGTATGAGCTACAGAAAAGAATAATAATAACTTCCCGAGGAAACTTGAAATAATTATTATAGACCTAGAACTAATCACGTAGTATATAGGAATAAGATTGCTGTTCCACTCACAGTAAGATTTCCATTTGTGTTTATTACAATCTGCAGATTTTTCTCTCAAATATGTATTTATAGAGGTAATCAATGCTAGCATTACCTTTAATGATGACGTCATATTGAGCTGCTGGTGATTGCTGACTAGGATTTAACATTGGTTGCAATGTCGAATCAAACTGGATTGTTTCTATCGTGAGTGTGACACTCCTGTAAACATTAGAACATCCAGCATAACTGCAGGCGTGTACGTGTGACAGCAACCTAATTGAAAACACAACGTTAAAGTAGCAATTAGTGTTGATAAAGCATGAACACAGCAGTACAACAAATTATTGTCTACCACCGTGTCAATGTGTCATACACTCTGCTTTCTCTCTCTCTCTCTCACTCTCGCTCTCACCCTCTCTTTCTCTCTCTCTCTCTCTCTATCTCTCTCTGTATCGCTCTCTCTCTCGCTCGCTCGCTCGCTCTCTCTCTCTCTCTCTCTCTCTCTCTCTTTCTCGTCTTCTCTCTTTCTCTCTCGCTTCTCTCTTTCTCTCTCTCTCTCTCTCTCTCTCTCTCTCTCTCTCTCTCTCTCCTCTTCTCTGCTCGTGGCTCTCTCTCTCTCTCTCTCTGTGTCCTACTCTCTCTCTCTCTCTCTCTCCTCTCTCCTCTCTCGATTGTCTGCTCTCTCTCTCTGTCTCTCTCCTCTCTCTCTTTCTCTCTGTCTCTCTCTCTCTCTCTCTCACGCACCCTTCTCGTCTCTCTATTTTGTTTCTCTCTCTCGATCTCTCTATCTCTCTCCCTCTCTCTTCTCTCTCTCTCTCTCTCTCTCTCTCTCTCTCTCTCTCTCTCTCTCTCTCTCTCTCTCTTGCTTTCTCTCTCTCTCTTGCTTTCTCTCTATCAATCTCTCACTCTCTTTCTCTTGCTCTCTCTCTCTCTCTTGCTCTCTCTCTCTCTCTCTCTCCATCTCTCTCTGTATCGCTCTCTCTCAGCATAGATACTATCATGCTGTTGACCTCTCTATAGCATAGATACTCTCATGCTGTCTCACCTTTGTCCACTTTCTCTCAGCACAGCCACCCTTGTGCCATCCACATTCAGAAGGGTCACTTCAGGGAAGTATTTCCAGTTTGTTGTCATATGCTCAGCTTCCGTATCCTCAACATCCTCCTGTTCTTCCTTCTCCGGCTGTGGTGGTGCCACTTTGACGACAGACATACACCCTGTAAGACAGATTCATTCTCCCGATTACACTACTTGATAAAGCTGACTGTGAAGCTCAAGCATCCACTAAATTTCTACAAAACAGTGTAATACACAGGAGCAGTTGTACATTGTACAGTTCACTCTTACCTTCGTTGATCAGCACTTGAGGTTTAGAGACACCGAGTTTGAGCTTTAGAAGGGAGAAGCCGCCCCGCGTGCCGACGTGAATGTGTAAGGTACTGTTAGTAGTCACATCTATGATACACGGCTGCTGCTCACCGGGCTGAAACTGATGTACAAACTCCAACATGAAATATAACTTGTGATTAAGGATTACCATAGGAACAACAGAATCGGCATGATATTAAAGTTATATCCGGGCAATGTAAGCAACGTATCCAAATTAAGAGATTAGAATAGAGGTGAAAATTACACTGGCCTGACAAATTCCGTGCCGACAGTAGGCAAAGTGTGAAAGCAGATATGTTAACCGTTAATTTAGATGAGGGTAATATAGCCTGCTCATACCTTCTCCACGCTTCTCAATACTTTTGTAGATGCTGTCATGATATGTATTATCAGTTTAAGTCTATAAAAAACCAAAACATAACCTGTCAACATAATACGTTATTATGTTGTATAACATAAATATGATGATACAACCATTTTACAATATATATGGAATTGATTTACACAATTTTTGTAATTTTCTATACTTCGTAACATGATGGCCGATGGAGATGGTGTTACTTTTCTCTACATAACAGTACTAGTACAGTTCTAACAGTACAATATCTTTCTATTGTAATGATTTGATCCATGAGCTTACACAGAATCCTCCTGAGTGCAGGATAGTGAGAACTCGTTCACTGTTGAATGGAGCAAGCAATCTTGAAAGACAGCTCTGAGCAACACCACACTGACATCACTGATCCGTATGGACATATACTGTAAATAATAGTCAATGGTTACTGCCTTGTGTGTACTGTAAATAATAGTCAGTAGTTACTGCCTTGTATATACTGTAAATAATAGTCAGTGGTTACTGCCTTGTGTATACTGTAAAAATAGTCAGTGGTTACTGCCTTGTGTATACTGTAAAAATAGTCAGTGGTTACTGCCTTGTGTGAACATGTATTTCATACCACAGTTTATTGTACCTGATTTTCTTCATATTTGCAGCAGTTTTTAACAATTACAAAATGACAAATAGTCTTGATTAAAGACCAGACCAGCATGAGGACCATGATATGTAACTTACAGAATTATTTACTTACTGGCATCATTGACACAATTGCCCGTACTAACTTGCTTTCCATGGCATCTGTGAATTTAGAGATAAAGTAAGTACTAACTAGTAAAAGCAGTTACTGTAGACTCATATTGATAAAACTAACATTTAAAATGTGTTTTATTATTATTAATGCTAAAAATATTAGTATATTAAGGTGACAACAAACAATAGTAAAACCCCCACCCATCTATGGATCACTGCTGATTTTCACCTGGCTCATGGGTTCCAACTTTCTTCTTCTTCTTTCTCATCTGCTTATTGTGCAGGTCTGCTTGAACTCTGACCTCTTCCACGCACAGGGCTATAAGTGTGCTACAAAATCAGAAGCTGAGTATAAAGTACCGTCTTCAAATTTGTATTTGTTTCTAATATGGACACACATATATGCTAATTAACTGACCTGACATTGGCATTCACTAAGCTGCTTGAAATCCAGACTGCGTCGATCTCCTGCAATGAAAAGAGATGGATTAATGCTATTAAACTGTAAAGCTGGATACTTTCTGTCATATAAACCAGCCGAATCTATGAATGGGGGACAGTTAACAATTTAAAACAACCACCATTAAGTTTTTAATATAGTCTAATGTGATGACACCAAAAAATGAGTGAGGTAAAAGCTCACTCATGCTCTATACGGTGCTCAGTGTCAAGATAGCAAAACACCTACCACTTTTGCATCGTTGCGGAGTAGCAAGGAGACATTGTACAGTTTTAGGAATCCAATTTTTCCTATGTGTACAGTCAAATGGAACTTCACTGAGAGCCATTGCTGGATTAAAAACTTAACAAGCCTAGACAAAAGAAAAGGGTTATAGCCTATCAGTACATTTCCATACATATATATGTAAATTATACTGGTTTGCATAGTTAACTATGGGATTCTTTAAATAAGCTTTTAATGTGTGTAAAGTTGGATTCTGTTTTTAGGAGTGGTATGTCCCTATACCTAGTGCCAACCTGGTACACTGTGCCAGCTACTGCCAGTAGTAATGGTTAGTCAGGTTCCTGGTCACATTTATGCAGGGAAAATATGAAGAATGCATCTTACAGCACTGTTTGCCGTAACAAGGCAGGCTCTGATTACAGGACATTAGATCTACTAAAGTCAAATGTTAATGTACCCAGCAGTTTTCTCAATCTGATTAGTGTGACCCAGCCCACACCACCTTTAATTCTCAATTTATATGTGTTGTGGTAATATTTTTAGTTTTACCAAGAATAGAAATTTATTAGTTATCATAACGTAAAAATGCTCCAAAGTTCAACTAGTTACGTTTTGCTCAAATTCTTCCCTGTGACGTCATCAGACTATTATCGCTACGTCATCTGGGACTTGCCATCTGCCAAGCTAGTAGTAGTAGTAGTAGTGCTCATAGGGTCTATGTCCCCCAGGGTACTGCCGGAACGTACCCTGAGTACGGTCCGGTATACCGGAACGTACCCTGGTAACTATTTGATATGGTTAGGGTTAGGGTTAGGGTTAGGGAGTAGGCGTAGGCAACTCCCTAGACTCGTTAGTGGAGTAGGTGAGGTACGGTCCATACACCCTCTCAGTCTCAGCAGTAGTAGTACTAGTAGTAGTAATACGTGGATTATGAAGCGGGAAAGCGATAAAGTCTAGACGTGTATAAGTGGTACATCATGAACATGTGTGTGCGTACGTACGTGCGTGCGTGTGTGCATTTATAGTTTTCGGGTTTAGTTTGAGTTTTATATTGCTTAAAGCCGCACAATGCGCATCCAAACACAAATTTCTCTAGTACTAGACTAGCAAATACTTCGTGTCATGCATAATCACACTACCTTATGACAAAATAAACTCTAGTTCCTCCCATTTCACTGCGCGTTTGCTTAAAACCCACAAGAAAAAGGTGAGAAAACTGGCATTCTGGCGCAAACGCCGACTGTTTGCCAAACAATTTAGCCTCGAACTGGTGAGGTGACGTCACATGTTTTTATCTTTGCTACACCCGTATCGCTGTACCGCAGCAACGCTGTCAACAACATCGGAGAATTTGAACAACATTGGAGGTATATTCAAATACTTTTTATAAGACAACGCGCAGTGAAATGGGAGGAACTAGAGTTTATTTTGTCATAAGGTAGTGTGATTATGCATGACACGAAGTATTTGCTAGTCTAGTACTGGAGAAATTAGCGTTTGGATGCGCATGTGCGGCTTTAAGTTAATAGTTTATTAACAACAATAAAAGTAATCAAATTTGTTTACTTTACTCTTTAGTTGAGTCTTTACAAATTACAGTTTACTGTTATTTTATAAAAGATTGTGCACGAAAGCAACGCATTAATGTCATATTTATGATATTAACTCATACTCGTCATAGTCATAATGATATTTTTACCTGGAAATGACAAAGTACAATATAATAGCCGCAATAAATAACCAGACGTATCCAGGCATTTTTCTTGCGTGAAACGTGGTTTACAATAAATTACAACAACCACTGAGTGTAAACATGAAGTTGTTTAGAACTTTAGGTAAACATGAAGTTTGGTGGGCGCAGACATTCTTATGTTGACCTACTGGCAGTACTGCTAAGAATTTCATAGGAACTGATATTTTACTTAAACTCATTTCATAAATAATAATTATTAAAAAATTGTATACTTAGTTAAATATATGATCTATCTAATGTAGCTATATGCAAGTACTTTAAATATTTGTAGATAAAGCTTCAAAATAAACGTTTGACGAGAGGTAAATAGATGTGATAGGTTACAAGTCACGTGGAAATACGCTGACCAATCAGCTGAGACGGCACTACCGCCTTGTTGTTTCAGTCGCCATTGGATCGCCATTTTCACCTGTTTAGGTTAAATTTTAGTTGAATTTTAGGTTTTACACGAACTCAAATGACTCTCACCAATTGAGATTGTCGCTGAGATTATAGTGTATGTCATGGACTCACCATGACTTCAGCCAATTCGTCAACGAACGGTGCAAGCCTTGAAGACTGCCACACGAACTTGTTCGCGTTGGTAAGTAAAGACTAACTAAGTACGGTATGGTCCCAAGCTAAATCATGGCCTGGATCATCTTCATCGATATATAGGCACACATAATAAATAAGGTTTAATATAACCTAGACTGTTCCTCTCGCAATTGAAATCGCAGCTACTGAGGACTTTCCTGACAAAACCATTCGGACAGATGTTTAAAAATTTGACGAATAACCCCGAACCTGAGTAGGCCTATTTAATTTAATTAGTTTTTAAATGTGACCGCCTCATTTCATCAACATTCAGTTACAGTTACACCGTGTGTGGTAGGGTCAACGTAAATTGCTAGACTTAGTGCTTTATAATAGTGTAATATTACTAATAATATGTGGTGTTCTTATTCATTGGGTTCTTTAAGCATTGAGACCTCCCTAATTTATTAGCAGAGTTGGACATTTTGGGGTTGTGTTTTACTCAGTTATTTATATGCTGAGTAAGGAATGGTACAGAAACATGTCATTCAATAGCAGACAGTTATAAAACAGTAGTGAGTTGTAGGTTTTAATTCTCCTTTGTAAGTATATACAGCCACATTTTTGGTACCACAATAGCCCGACCAGGCTGTGCGACAGATTGTCTATACAGCCTGACACCCTTCCATACAAAAAACCTATCACCTCTGCAGATCTAGATAAATAACTCTGTATATCTCAAATAAAACTATTCTATTACCACCTTTGACTTGCCTTGTTTGAAATATGAACGTTAACTCACAGTTGTCCTGCTTCTAAACTAGAATGTATCTCTTAATTCATGGTATAATCTGCTAATTCTCACAGCATATCAACTTTCCAATCAGCTTTACCCGCCATGTTTACACTGCGCATGAGTCAATGGAAGATAGACACGCAAAACCCGAAACGGAAAAGACTCGCTAGAAAATACTACAGAAAGAGTACAATAGCTGCACGATGGCTCTCACGGCAATTACACACCAAAGGCCAAAGCAAGTGAAACGATGTTTACAAATGTCTGGGCCATTTGTAAAAACCTTAGATGACATGTTCTCGGATGTAGGGGTGGTTTGCATGAGGACCGCAGATTGTTTAATTTCCCTTGTTCGATCCATTGCGGATTTTAGTCACAGTCGGAATGATAGCAAACATGGTGGCAAATTCCTAAATTTGGTTGTATTTGTCTCAAAAAGTCGCTGTAACCCCGTAAGTACCCAGCGCATCGTAGCGCACTGATGGTTACAAGAAGGTGGATGTATACTGATTCATTTGGTATATCACATGTGAAGTGTTCTTTGGCGATACTTGGCAAATAAGACAACTACGTGTTTAGCTGCAGCCAATGTTTGAAACGGTATTCTAACCTTAGCAATACCGTTTCTTGGAGAGCTCTAGTACCACAACAAAGTTACAGACTTTGAATGTTAAGCATTAGCATGCTCTAACATTACGTTCATGGCATAGTTTCAAGGTAGTAAATTTTCATCGCAATAAATCGTTACCCTGTCACTAGTAATACCAACATATTGAAACAGTAGTAATACCTGTATGCATTTACAGTGTTTCCCCTGGCCAAAAAGGTCTGTGAGGCGGTAAATGTTTTGTGTGATGTATTTGCACATTTTGAGGTCCTAGCAAAGCGAGCAGCGCAGGTCCTGGCCAAGCTACGGGGTTCGGGGCCACGCTCCCGTGGGAAATTTTTGAAAAAATGGTGCAATTTGGTGCATTCTAAGCTATTCTGAACATATTGTATGAGACTCTTGAATCTCTTTTTCAAGTTGTCAAAAGATTCGTCAGCGAGGCGGTGGTTTGGACAAATTTCTGTGTGGCGGCTGAGAATTTGAGCGAGGTGGGCCGCCTCGCTCGTGTCAATGCAGGGGAAACACTGCATTTATAATTGATGTGCTGCTGTTGTTAGCAACCGATCCATGTTTTTCAAATAACACAAGATCCTGTTGTTTTATTAGAGTTTGTGGTCTTTAATTAATTGATATTGCATGGTTAAATTGGCAGTGGAACATAATTTAATTATCCTAACAACTGTATTGCCACAAAGTATAAATATGGTCTATAAATAGACTTAATGTAAAACGCTATCGTTGTTACACTTTGACGCCTCAAGCAAATGACGAAGCCATTAACATTTATAAATACTTTCTTTACATGTGAGTGAGTGTCACCACTCCAACCAGGTGTATCTTCTATCTTGGCTAATGCCAGGTTCACTCTTGTTTTTCAGGCGGACATTAACGGAATAAAATGGAGACGATTTAGTGCCGAAAACAGTTACTGTGTGGAGCCATTGGAGGACCCCGTGCTACAGTCATTCGCGCGATGTGTGAGCGCAGATATATTGTGCATGTGGCGGAGGGTGAAGCAGGGAAGCGCCGACCTGATGCGGCCCCACCTAATGTTTACAAAGGAACTGTGGATATTTTGGTATGGAGATGAGCCTAACCTCAACAACATTCTCAGCAGGGAGCTAACAGGTAAATGTGAAAGTTAGTCTAGTTAATCTGAAAGCTAGTCCAGGAAATTGTTCACTGTTAAAACTTCAAAAATGTTTTGTCTACCTCGAGAGATGTTGTGTTAAATAATGTCATCTAGCCTTAATTGCGGTCTGCTAAAATAGCAGTAGCCGTGCACGTGCAAGCAATCATAAGAGGGTAGCCCCTCTACAGTGTCTTATAACAACCATTTGTTTAGAGTGTGCCTAGCCTCTCAACCCAGAGTAGGTGGATTTGGTTACTGCTGCGCAGGAAAAATAGGGCAGCTTGCACAGGAGTGACATAATCATGTCGTTGCCCCTCTGAAGCTATTATAATGCACTGTAGGCAGCCAGCCATAGAGGAGCAGGGGATCAGGTCCTAATTTGCACTAAAGCTTGTGTGCCGGTTTACACATATTTTCGCTGGCTGCTGTTTGCTGCTAGAACAGAATGCAGCTGTGAGTAACAGCAGCCTAGTTCGGGGAACCGCTGGCAATTCATCTTGCAATTGTGTTCCATAGAGTCTTACGTGCGTAATTGACTGAATCCAAATGCGGCTGAGAGATGTGGCAATGCACTGTGGTTTTTTCTCACCAACATCTGAACATATGGCATGTTTTTTTTTATCTCTGTGAATACATCATGTATGTTATATCTCCATGTTAAATTTGTTTTAGTTGCATGTCGTTTATTTACCACCTAGTTACAGTGTCATAGAAATTGTTCTAAGAAGCGCGTTGTACTGTTTATGCACATGCCTACTGTAATACATGTACATTGTACAGTGACAGTATGTTTAACGTTTCACTCGCGCACATGCACGACGCAGTATCTGATGTCAGCACCAGCTGATTTACACGCGTATCAGCTGCCATGGCTACCGGTTACTCTGCTCAAACTATTAAATGCTGTACGAGATATTGCCAGAAGGCATTGATTCCGTGATAGAAATATCACGAGTGAGTGACTGAGATTGGATGTTAATGAAATTGTTACAGAATATTTTTTGTCTGCATCAGTTCGTTTTAAATTCAAATCAGATTAATTAAATCTCTAATCGCAGCGTGTTGTTAGGGATTATAAAATCTCTAAACAGTCACTGGCGTACTTGACGAAAGAATATTGCGAAATGCGCTAAATATGCGTGGAACACGGTCCGTTAGTGCACGCGTACATTCTCATTTACTGCAGTACATATTTGTCGTTTCATATACGGCTGTTAGTGTTAAAAACTTGTAGGAGTCAGCTTTAGTTCCACGGTAGGCATGAATGCGTGCGGCGTTTGCTCGCTGCTAACTATGCTTAACACAATGCCCGGTTGTTTTACTGGGAGCCGCAGTGCTAGGGCTTTGATCGTGCCCGATAGTCAAGGAACCAGTTCTGTGCAGCAGGCTTGTACCTGCCAGCTATGGCACACATGTACAGTTTGCTACTTGGCTCTGGGTCAATGTAAGATCGTGGATTATAGAGCGACGCAATCTGCATCGCTCCGCGGTGGTGTTGTCGTTTTTTGTGCGCAATTTCGCGTTGTCTGGAAACTGATAGTGCCAGACTAGCGTACCCACAGCTGGCATTTTGCTGGGCCCGCTCGTGCCTATGGTCGTTTCAATGAGCTGTATTCGGTTGTCGTTGATAGGCAGGCAGACTAGACTAACAGGCTGGGCTGTAGAGGTCGCGCGAGCCTGGTAGGCTGAACTAGGTCTCGGCGACTCGGGAATCGGATAGATTCGTTTCCCGAAGTGTTGTGCTGGAGTGCACTTGTACCTGTGTTTGCTTGTTATGGTGTGTGTATGTTTGTGTGTGTGTGGGGGGGGGGGTGTATGTTGTGTGTTTGTGTGTGATAGTTGCTTTTAAGTACTATATTGAACTTAAAGGTTAGAGTGCAAGGCGTAGGGGGGGGGGCATACAAGTTTTTTGGCCCAGGTTAGAGTACGGAGTGGCAGTTAATCGGGTGTTGCTATCCCCCGGGCGTGGAGGGAGGTCACGTGATAACGTTGACGATGACGTTCAAAACATTAACCCTAACGGTAACTCTAACTACAAGACCTCCAACACTAACCCTACAACTAAAAATATATATCTCGCAGCGCTATAGATAGGCATTGTGATCCACAAAAATTAATCTATGGTGTGGGGACAGATATCATGATGCAAAACCCCTAACCCTAACCCTAATCCTAACCCTAACCCTAACCCTGACCCTAATCCTAACACTAGTGCTGCCACGTTGCGGTCACCTCCCTCCACGCCCGGGGGATAGCATTACCCCAGTTGATCGATATAGTTTTGGCCTTTTGATCCTAGTTAGGGTACGCGTTGCTAGCTTAGGGAGGAAGGTCTGAAGTTTTGGTCCGGGTTAGGGTACGGGTTGCCAGCTTAGGGAGGAAGGTTTAAAGTTTTGGTCCAGGTTAGGGTACACGTTCCCAGCTGAGGGAGGAAAGTTTACACTTTTGATCCTGGTTAGCGTATGCGTTATCAGCCGAGGGAGGGAGCTCTAACACCTGATCCAGGTTAGGGTACAGATTGTCTGCTGATGGAGGGAGAGAGGGTAAACACTTCAGTTCTGATCCAGGTTAGGTTAGCGTGTTAGGTGATGATACTAACAGTCCTAAGGCGCAGTAGCGTGTAGAGTGTCAGTATAGTGAAGCTTGTATCGGCTGTCATCGTGTGCAGTAGTAAATTGTGTCACAACATAAATGCTGCGTTGCCGGTGGCGCACAGTGAGACCGCTACACACACGCACCCTCCCCCCTCCTCTGTGTTCAGACCTGCGATGCTACCCTGCGTTACAGTGCCGCTGGCCGGTCAGCAGTCACGGCCGGTGACAGCGGCCGGCGAGGTTTGTGTGAAGTTCACAGTGCCAGGGGGAGCGCGGCGCTGCTGCCTGCCTGCCTAGCCGCCTTCCACGCACAGAGGCACGGCGAGCAGGCAGAGCTGTTCTTCATCTGTTTATTACAGTACAGTACATAGAGTCAACAGCAGATGTATTGATGGGTCTACGAGTGGCGCGCAGGCAGCCGGCGCGTCTCCTCGCCGTCTGCGAGCGGCGCGGCAGCAGCGAACAGTGATTTCCTGGCTTCCGCGGTGAAACCGCGACGCTTTGAAAGGAGCGCGACCAGCGGTGAAGGCAGGAAGGCAATCTGCGGCCGAGCGAGATTGTCGACCGTGTTTTCGACGACGTGTACGTGTAAATAGCGGTCAGCTCCTTCATTCACGCTCTCGGCGGCGACGCGATGACGTTTGTTTTGAACAGCGGAATCAGCATTCGCTGCCGAGAATTCGCACTTAATCGCACAAATCTCACCGTTGTAGTACAGCCGAACGTTTTGCTGAAGATTCTTCGATACAGGTTGCGGCATGCACGGGGAAAGCTTTGTGCAGCGCTAGCATGTCGATTTAGATCTGCTCCCGCATGGAGCAGAGCCGTGTAATTGTGCTGCTGCATGTTTTTGTTGCTAAGCCAATATTTTAACGGACTTGATTTATACTGCGATTTTGAGTAGCACTCGATGTCAGTTGCTCTCTGAGCTGTACATATGATTACTGCAAAGGGGATCATGTAATACCTGTAGGTGTTTAGCCAAAGTTATAATAGGGCTCGTAATTAATTTACTTTACATGGTTGCACATGCTCGCTAGCGCATAAAATATTTAGCAGTCAATCACGTGTTCGCAAAGCAAACATAATAATATGCGTCTGCCATCGTACGACATAAAAATAGCACTTAATTTCATTATACGGTGAAGTTTCCTTTTTGCTCCTAACAACCTGGATTTTGTCCAATTGATGTTGGTTTTGCAAATTTTACCAACGTGACCAGGCAGTTATGGTAGCAAATTTAGCCTTCAATTTAAAATTTTAGGTAAAAATTGGGGGATTTAGCAGCAGTTGCTAACGTTGGTGGTGTTAATTATGAGCCTTGTGTGCACTGGTTAGCTTTTAGGCCATGGGCCAAGCCAAGAGTGACTATTGTTCACTTTCGTTTGACACCTCATGGAACCAAGTTTAAATCTGGTTATCTAGGTTAAATACATTATCCTGATTATAAATCACCAATGTTCACCCCAAAATTCTTGCACATTAGTTTGTAATAAGCTTTTGAAAAGTGGAATTTTCCGAAACAGACAAATTCTGCCAATTGATGGCTGTATGCGAAGCTTGATCCAATCACGGTGCTCTATGTGAAGCTTGAACCAATCACGGTGCTCTATGTGAAGCTTGAACCAATCACGGTGCTCTATGTGAAGCTTGAACCAATTTTTTTTTATTGAGACGTTTCAAGTGCCTGTGCACCACAACTCCAACGGACAGACCCATGAGCACTGTAGACATTGTTTCCCTTTTCCTCCAACCCTATTTAACCTGCTTCATTCTGGCGTGGCAGTGTCTACACGCGGCGCTGTCATGCTTGTAATTGTCCTGATAATATACTGAGCAAGAAATTGTCTCACAAGTGCTCGCGTCGCGGCGCGGCGTTGTGTGTTCAGATTTTACTCCGCGTTCATAATCAATACAGCTTGCAAATCGACTCGTTTCTGAAAGCTGGTATTAAAATTTCATGTCCATATTGATCAGCACTGCGACTATGTGCGCGTGTCAGCTTGTGCGCGTGTGTGTGTGTGTGTATGCGGGCGTGAGAGGATCGGTGTATAGGTGGTGAGAGTGCTTTGGGCCACGCACATGTGGGTGTGCATGCGTTGGTGGGTGCGTGCGTGCGTGGTTGCACGAGTGCGTGGGAAGAGCGTGAGAGGCGGCGTGCTAATTATTGGTGTGCCGTTTTCCTGGTTGACTGCTCTCAGCAGCCGAGTTTCCGCAACCGAGTGTCGTGACAGCAAAAACGTGTTTCCTTCGTGTTTGACTGACACCGATGGTACCAGATACGCCATGCTCCCCTTTCCTCCATTCTTAACAGGATTCTCTGGCTGGAAAATAACAGGCGCTGTTTACATAAACTTTAGCACTGAACGGTACATCGTCGGCGTAATGCTGCCGGTGATTTT